GAATAATAGAATCCACATCCCCCAGGGAGAGTTTCGCAGACGCCAAAGCCTCAGTCAATGGTGCTGAGACACGGGCAGCGTGAGCCTTTGCGAGTTTCTCGAATTGAGCCCGCGTGATTTCATATTTGAAATTAACGTCGTCATGGTATAGACCCTCAAAAGAGGCCGCAGTGTCTGAATTGGCGCTCAAAATGTGTCTAACTCTTTCCGCCTCTTTCCAGAGCTTTGCCATTGTCCGCCCATGGATCCTGAGTTTCTCCGGTGGGGTGTCGTCCTTCAGCTTTCCAGTAGCAACGAATTTCTCGATCATGTCGTCAACAATCAGTTGATTCAGGGCATCACCGCCCAACGTCTTATCCCAACCAATACCTACAACTTGTACTTCTTGAACAGTCTTGTTGAACCGGCCAACATCTTTGACAGACCGGCTTTGGAACCGAAGAACAGTCGCAGATGTACAACCAGCGCCCATATCATACACGACATGGTACTCTGGTTTCTTTCCATCTGATACGCTGGGGAAAGTCCGACTGGTGGCATAGTTGACACCAACAGCCAACCCGTCGCTGATCATAGCGATCACATTCAACCCAGCCAGTTCTGCCGATAACTCCACGCTCCGCTTCTCCTCCGCAGTGTAATACGGCGGGAAAGTGATGACGGCATCCTGGATTTCGGACCTCTGGCCACCCATCGCTTCCGCGTTGGCTTTAACCTGCTTCAACTGCATAGCCAATAACTCCTCCACCATAAAACGATCCCGACCTTGCTCTTCTGCCAGGCTTTTGCTTTTAATCCCAATAGTAGCCCGTCCCGGGATTTCCCCAATATCAAGAGCGGGATACCGGCTCTTGTACATCTCAACGACATTTTCCTCGTTGTCACTGGAGCCCTGGACTCCACCCTCCAGCGGAATACCCAAGAGAACTTTCAGATTCGGAAACACATCGTCGGGGAACCGAGGGGCAAGCGAGAGCGCATCGCCACCATAAAATCGCTCGGGAAAAACAGCATTTTGTTCACGCGCCGGCTTGAATGCCACAGCGGCAGCTTCCTTTCTCTTAGAATCCTTGGTCAAGACAATTTCGAGAGGTACCCCCGGCTTCACCAGAGCGGCTTTTATGTATTCTGTTCCAAGATCTATTCCTATGATTGCGGAACCAGCCGCGGAAACCTGAGCGGGAAGAGCTGTGAGAATGAGGAATGCGAGGACGGAGGAGAGAAAGTATAGTGAGACTATTCGCGCTGAAGCAGGTCGTCGTCGGCCCGGGGGAGCCATTATGAGATTAGCTGTGTTGTATATTTATATCTGTTAGCCAGTTGACACTTTTTTTCAAAACCGGTAGCAACATTTTAAGAGTTAGAGAAATAAGTACCTGTATTGATACCAATTGGACCAATTCCACCTCTTCGAGAAAAGTAGAAGGTAAAAGAGAAGACCACAAGGAGGAATTCTAAAAACTGGCAAAGGCCCCTCCCTCCTATACGGTTGTGAAATACATCAGGCAGAGTATGCGGTGGTTTAGAATCGGTAAATTGTTGTATATGAGACAGAAGCTTGGAAAGTTGACAGCTCGGAACCGTGGAAATGTTGAATATAAAGAACGGAAGGAAAATTAAGGGACAGGAGAAGAGGACACGTTAAAATAACAGAAGGCTACGCCACGGGAATGTTTGCTCTTCGAAATATTATCCCGGCGTTAAAAGTCGGCAGAATGTTGAAGGCTTCCCTTTCGTTGTTCGCGCTATCATAAGGACACTTTGGCCGTTGGGAGAGTGCAAACATGCCACATCTAGTATGTTTGTTTTGAGATGGAATCTAGTTTGCCTCGTTTGCATTGTTGACAAGAGTCAGCTCACGTGATTCAGCACCTTCCCCTTTTTCAGGGCATTTTTTAGAACAGATACATACTACTATTACTGCACTCTGGTTTCTCTATTTTGGATTACGATAATAATTTTTTAAAAATATATGCTAGCTTATGGTTTCTTTATGAACAATCTGGAACACTGACAACATAGAATATGACCTGCTCCAAATATTCTCCTGAAGCAATGCCCTCTGAAATTGAGCTTTTTGGTGATATATATATCAGGTAGGTAACGGAAGATAAATATGGTGCAGTAGTCAGAAAATAATAGTAAAAAATAACAATAACAACAATGATAATAGAAAGCTATATAAATTCCACCTACGTTTTCTGTAGTTGATATGTAAGCAGGGGATCTCTTCCATGATCGGGTTAGCATTCACGTCTCAGCAAGATCCGCCCGTTCTAATCCACCCCCAATCAAAAAGAAGAAAAAAAAAAAAAAAAAAAGGGGGAGGGGGGGGGGAGGAAAGAGTTCGGGTCGAACATATCGCATCTCGTCTAGCAACCCAGGTAGACAGCTGTAAGAGTTGTCAGTAAGTTTGATTCAGAATCTGGAGATATTGGCCCAAGAGCGTACCGTTTGCAAATAGGGAGAAGCTGTCAGCGTTATTCAATGCTTCCCAGGTGGAAAGAGATGTGGCTGCCTGGTGACCGTAAGCAAGATCATCGGTTCCAGGACTGAAGACGCCTGGAGTATGAGTGAATTCGTGGATGCTTGTGGTAACTCGATCCTGGCCGTGGCAGCGCCAGGTCAGATGGCTGAGAGAGTAGTAGGCGGGGCAGTTTGAGATAATGTTTCGGGAAGGGAGAGCATAGGCCAAGACGTTGGGTGAACAGATGCCATATGGGTCATCACAGTAATAGGTTGTTCGTCCACTAGTCGTGCTAGATGCCTCCCGGGCCACGGCATCGAAACGTGCCGCTACCAGATTGCGCACTTGCTGATCATTAGTTTTGAAGTACTGCGTGAATGCTCGGCCACCATTCCGTGCAGCGCCTGCTGCCATGGCCGCCAGAGGTGCAGAATCCCGAATCGCTCGAGTGGCGGCACTTCCCCTAGACCCAGTGCAGCCGGTAAGCCGGGTACGCTTGGAGAACTGGTTCAAGGAAGCGAAGTTCTTCGCGGCGGCTTTGCCATCGACATCAATCTCGAGCTCATTTGATTTGTAGTGAACCACTCCGGAAAGAGTATCACCATCCGTATCGGTGGTAGAGGCAAATCCCTCCGCTTTTACAACGATGCGACCACCTTGGGAAAGATCGGCTGTAAATGCCACATCAAATTCGTCCTCGAATGATTCTCCTGGGCCAAGATGTGTGAAGACCTCAGGCGAAAGGCCACTTGTTTTGTGACGAAGCCGGACACCTGCGAACGGGACCTCGGCGCCTGCAAAAATGCATGTTAATCGTTTTACTCTAGGACAACGGGTTTAAACCCGAATGAGGTTTCTTGGAGGGGTTTGTAGTACCTTGGCTATACACGGATACTTTTTTGACTGGAGCGGTGTCCTTGAAAAAGTTCAAGTTCAGGATGTTAAGGTCCTCGTCTCCATTGTTCGTGACAACAGCCTTGACCAAGGTACCCTCGACCTGTGTCAATTTCACGTCTAACTCAGGAATATCATCAGCGCGTTTTTCGGTGGACGGAACGACACCGGCAATGGCAGTAGTAGCGAAGGCAACAATGGCTAAAATGCTCTGTGGTGACCGCATAATGTAGGCACAGGTGGACACAGGGCTGGCTAAGTGCGGACGAGACAGTTGACAAAGGAGCTCTGTAAAATATAAGTGAAGCCAAATGAAAAGGCGGAAAGGTGATGGTGGGCGAGGAAAGAAAAAACTCGACTGACAATGGAAAGGGAAAGAGCTGAAGATATAGAAAACCAGTGAGTGTACTTACTGTTCAAGGCTATTTTCGGTTTCAGGCAAGCAGCACCCTCACTTCTTTCCTCCCTTTTGTGGTCAAGCCCGCCTTTACCCAGGATGTGATATATCGCTCTGAGGAGAAGGTGACATCGTGAAGCCCCGGACAAATCCTTAGGGCAGATCTCTTGACCGGCCAACTGCTAAAAGCAGAAGTAACCGATGCAGTGGGCTCAACATCCTAGATGACGAGAAGAGCATGGTGGTGTTGTATGGCCCTGGCCTCCACCCAATATATCAGTAGTGATATGGAATGATGCCTGCATATGATATAGCTTTCGTTTGCTGGCTGAGGTAAATGTGCAGCTATAGATAGCGGTAGCAGCAACCAGATGGGGCCTGCATCAGTAGGAGACACACCTGCACCGTCTGAGGCAAAACTATCTATCAGCAGATCTTACACGCACCAAATAAAAAAGTGCGCCTCTCTCTAATCGCAATGCAGATGTCAAAATGACTCTGGCTCATGACACGCGTGGAAGCCTGAAAACAATGTAGGGCATGTTTGTTTGCGCGGTCCAGATACTGGGAGCGAGGCAAATAATTCCCCTATCAAGTTTCCCACACAAGAGTCCGAAATTGGAGAAGTCACTTAGGCTTTGATACAATTATCCACTTGCCCAGGGGGTCAGCATAAAACAATGAAATAAGCATTTGCCTCATGAAACAACGGTATGCCGGATGGCATATCGAGAGGGTTAACAATTCTTGGGCCGCCGTTTTCCGTGCCAATGTTCGGCCATATGAAACGCCATGAAGCAGCCAGCGGTGGTAAACTGCTGCATAAATGCAGAACCTATACCCCAGGAAATAGTGGAGATGTCCTAGGAAACAAGGTAATACTATGTTGGGACCTTGGGGTACGGAGGGAGTAGGGAATGTCCTGAGGATCAGACAAGGCCAAAAGCTATAGGGGTATATTGTGGGGAAGTAAGTGATGGGGATCGGAATTGGCGGGTAAGTTTACTACCACTACTATCGACCGAATTCCCCAAGAATTTCTGAAAGATCCGCATGAACTGACAATGCGGGCTCCTATCATTTGGCTCATATCTGCGCAGTGCTCCTTGACCATGCTTCAAGGCTCAAGAAAGATTGCCCACAATTGGGCCATCTTCAAGTTCACGTGATTTCGAACCTGCTGCCGATTGTTAGCGCTCGTTCATCCGAAGCAACTCGGCGTCTCTCAAAGTCAATTCCACCCTGAGATCTATCCTTTGATTGATCCTCTGCTTGCCGATGGCAGACCTGCTGCACGAAGTATTGCATGATGCTCTAGCCGACTGTAGGATCGTCATCCAGGCTGATAGTCCGCCATCATCCCGCCATGCACGGAGGTTCAAAGAGTGACAGAGCAAGTTTGCCGGAGTCTATTTTATGCAACCTGATGCAAGTGCAACCCCAAGTTGCGCACGGCCGGCTGGGTTTTGCCGTTGGTCTGATTCGCCTTTCGAAGGCGATTCCAACTATACCTTAACGTTTCAGCGGTGAATAAAATAATTTATGAGCCTGATGTGACCCCAGATCAACCGAGGCTGCGTGATAGCAATACAGATCCAGAACGGGTTCCACGCTAGGGAGAGAAATGGTTTTCCTACCACCCCCTTTTATTAGTCTCTCATATTGAAACCAGGTAGATCACACTCTGCATACCGAAGAAGAAGAAAAACCGGAATCCCTTCCCAAAACACTTGGGTCATCTGCATTCACCGGCAGGCGTTGACCGTTAACCAAGCTAGTCACTTCGTCATGTCGAGCAATTCCTCCGGGGAAGGGTACTGCAGAATCGCACATGGTGTCACCGAAAGCATGGCAAATGACGAGGCTTCTTGGGAGTTCTCAGCTTTGGGAAATATTCCTGGCCAATAGCATGAATTTTATGCTAAATATGACTACCTAGGGGTGGTGGGTGCTTTGGGGGAGTTGAACCTTCTTTTTTCTTTTCATATTTGTCATTACTTCCTCAAACGCAACTAACCTAGATTAGAAATGTCTCTATAGTTATCAAAGGTTTCGAGGAAAAAGCCATGAGATACCTTGTTTAAAGTTTTATGTGTTTTCCTCCCCGAACCACTTCGGATCGCCCTCCATCTTCGGTATGGATTGCAATTCTACTCCCACTTCCTCCTGGGATATTCATCCGCATATTATCGGTGTCGAGCCGGCGAGCATGTCAGTTTGGATGATCACGAAGATAATTCCATATCATACGGCATGGCACAAAGCCCTTCTTCAGCCGTTCTGCCGCTCAGAACCCCGTAGTTCAGGCTCTACGCACGATAACCGAGCCCATCTAGTCTGCATGGGATAAACAACATAAAACATCCTATTCTTTTCCTTCAAACAGAAAGTGGGGAACCTCGCCTTCTTAAGTTGGTCAAACGTAATTTCCTCCCAGGGGCGTCTGGGTCTGTTTTTCGCATTTCGTTGTCTTTCTCTGTTCAGCATACTTTTGTGTATGTTACACCTAGGCACAGCGGGTAGGCCAAAAATATAGTACACTGCTTAGATTCTTTTTTTTTTTTTTTTCCCCTCTCTCGCCCCAGCTGCGAGATCTCGGTTCCTCTGGACCTTGTATCAGTTGCTCAAATCACTGATTTCCTCCCAAATCGAAGTTTTGTGCCCGTTCCCGTTCGCACTTCTCAAGTTATAAATGTATGTTGAACATTTTCCATGCCTGCTGCTTCCTGTCATTTACGTGATATAATCAATCGCCATCCATTTTATTTTTCTCCTTGATTTGATTGAGTCGTCAGCCTAGCCAGTTCAAAGTTCATCCAAATCATATTCCCTTTGTGTCACCCAGATCTTATGATCCATCTCATGTAGTATTGTTGTCTTGTTTTGATCTACCGAGACATCTGGACTAGATCATGATGATGCAGAGACCATGGGTTAATTTAACCTCATAGTTCTGCTGCATCTTTGTCTTCTCCTTCTATTTGAGTTGGTTGGGTTTTTCATATTCCCCGAATGCCCTAACGTTCTTCCTCCTCTCCTATCTTCTTTCTACTTAAGTGTATTCTTTGATACTCGCACCTGCCTAGGGCCCATACATGGGCAATGAACAAGCGTGCCCTTTCCCTCAGCCCATCTATAGCAGATCAGAATCTGTAACTAAGCAAATATCACCCTGCCATCTCTTTGTGTTTTGAACGATGCGTTTCAAACGTCTAATAGTTCAATATTCCCTTGCATGTCCTCCAGGGAAATTTTTGCTCTCTGAACATTCACATAACTCTTGATTTCCCTCCCAGACTCAGACCCTGACCATGATTCCAGCGCTGGCATTTATCCTTGCCGTAATCTCATCGGCAATAGGTACGTCGCCTCGAATCCCCTTCGACAACACGGCTGCCCCCTTCTCCAAGCGAGCCATGGACGAGCTTTCCACAAGTCTCTCCGTCACCATCGGGTTGCCCTGCACGAACTCAGTCTTAAACCCAGCGGACCCTCTCGAGCTTACAGTTTCAGTCCACAATAACAATCCAAATCAAGCCGTTACTCTCTTAAAGTGGAACACCCCACTTGACCCGCAAGCCAACGTGCTTGGAGTCTTCGAAGTCCGTGAAGCCGAGTGCGGTACACCTGTGGACTCCTTAGTCGCCAAGATATCTCGAAAACTGCCCCCAACCCCAGAGGATCTAGTTGAAATACCGGCCAATGGCGTGAAAGAAGTTCAAGTTACGTTACGCCCGATGGGTTTCAGTGCTGGTCACCAGTATAAGATCTCCGCGAAGGGAAGATGGCAGGCATTGTGGGCGGCTGGCCTCGATGATGTGATAGCGACGGATTCGGTGAATATGGCCTGTGCTACATCCGGCAATTTCGAGTCGAACGTGGTTATGGTGTCGTTTAAGTGAGGAGGAAACTGTTCATTGTTTTGAAGTTATATTAGTTTATAGTGCTTGAAGGCCGGCGAAATTCTCATTGTTGCGCGGGTACCAGGGGGTTCCCTATTTAATTACCCGATTTTCAGCGTTATTTCTCTCTAAACAATGGTGGTGCAGATGTATGGATTCACAGACATGCGTAAAAGATCTTCTTATCCCTATGGAAATGAGACGGACAGTAGTCTGTATAGCTGAGGTTGAAATTAATTGTAATGATATTCACATGAAATACCAGGAAATTAGAAAAAGGGATGTCCTTTGCTCCATCTTCTCCGACGCTCTTCCCCTGTCCACTGTAGAAGTAGGACCCTTAGAGGGGGAACAATTGCTGGGTTGAAGATCTCACCTGTTACAACCTACAGCACGAAGTAAAGGCTTCTGATATACGACCGAATATAATAAAGTATGAAGAAGTTCAACGCAATGGTTCTTTTCCATAAGGTACGTCATAGTTAACAGCCATGAAACAACTGGAAAGAAAGTAGAAAACGAGAAGACGGAGGGGAAAATATTTGATTAAGAAAAGCAAAAACGAAGAAAGAAAGGAAAAACGAAAGTAGGGGACAACGATTAAGTAACGTCCCTTTCTCTTGACAGCACAGGGCTTTCCCCCAGATATCATAAAAATGTCCATGAAAATCCGGGTATCTTTCCCTCATAAGTGCCAGTCAATGTTTTGTTCCGCCACGTTTTTCCGTTCGTTTTCTTTTCTTTTTTTGTTCTATTCAGTGTTTGAAAAACACCCCCCCCCAACCAATAATTCTCCGATATGATAGATTGTGCAACAGGTCGCAAAATCAGAACGGAAACCATGCATAGGCGGGGTGGAAAACGATTTCATAAGCTTTAAATCCAGTTTCCTCTTTCCTCTAATTGTGCTGTGTGAAGGATAGGAAATAAGAGCAAGACAAAAGAGGTGTCAAGGGATGTAGAGACGTTTTCTTCATTTTTTTGACGTGCAGGGCTGAGAGCGAACAATGGAATGGAATCTCATAAATCTTTTTTCTTTTTCTCGGTTCGCCCATTTAAAAAAAATAATTGAGAAAAAATCAAGGCGACCTTCCGTCGTTAGCTCCAGGAGACTTGCGCGAATCAAACAACATGGCCCGCATCTACCATTTGACGCCCGCATCTGGCGCAGCAGTATCGGTAGCCCAGGTTTCAGCAGCACCAGCAGCAGCGCCGGAGCTGGCGGCCCACTCACCAGCAGCCTCAGCTTCCCAGCCCGGGGCAGCGCCAGCAGGCACGGCGGCACCAGTGGCAGCAAAAGCAGGAGCGACTTGAGCTTCCCAGCTGTCACCAACCAGTCCACTCTCGATAGCAGCGGCACCGACCTCCTCGGCACCGGGAACCTTAGCCTCCTCGATTTCCTTGTTCTCCTCGGCCTCAGGGTCGCGGTAGAAGTACAGGTCGACAACGACGTCCCACTCAGTCTCGCGGCTGGCGATGGTGCCGCGCAGACGCAGGACCTCACGGGCAAGCATCCACCAGATCAGACCGATGGCATGGCGACCCTTGTTGTTGGTGGGGATGGCGACGTCGACGAACTCGGTAGGGGAGTCGGTGTCGCAGAGGGCGATCACAGGGATGTTGACGTAGCTGGCCTCCTTGATGGCCTGGTGATCGGTGCGAGGATCGGTAACGATGATGAGGCGGGGTTCCTTGAAGGAGCGCGTGATGTAGTTGGTGAAGTTACCGGGGGTGAAACGACCGGCAATGGCAGCAGCACCGGTGTGAGCGGCGAACTTGAGGACGGCGCGCTGGCCGTAGGGACGAGCGGAAATCACACAAACGTCGGCTGGGTTGTCAATGGCTGCGATGATGCGGGCAGCAAGGACGATTTTCTCCCTGTTTAGCACAACGGAAGGCATGAGCAAAACTGTAGGTTCTTTTTTTATCTCCGTTTTTTTTTTCTCTTCTCTCTCTCTTTTCTTTTTTCCTTCCAATTTCCTTTCCTCGAATAGAACTTTTGCCTTACCAGGTCTTTCCAATGTTGATAACATTGATTCCATCAGGGCGAGTCTTCCACAGGTAGGGATCCATGTGGACTTGCAAGTTCTTGGAGCCGAGATGACATTGGGCGGCCAGCAACATCTCAATATCTTGAGATGTCGCATTGAAGATGGGAGGGAGGTTGGAAGGAGCCATGTTGGGCGACTGATATTTTCGAAAGGAGGAGAGGATAAATATCAATCGGTGGCAGTTTGTCGTTTGTCGCGTTGGAGTGGAGAAAGTAAATGTTCGCTGGGAGATTTTGGGAGGTCGATTGTGTGCTATTTCCCGATACGGCGACTAGGGCAAAAAAAAATGTTCCGAAGGCTTTTTCCGGCCGCAGATCACGGGATGGCTTCTTGATGACTAAGTTAAACTTGGCGAGATTTCTTTTGAGGAAAAAAAAGAGGCATAAGGACGTCAGGTTAATGAGAAGGTTAGATGTCTTTCCTCCTGACGCATTGAGAGCTCTAACGACAACATGCCTCCACGGCTCTTCAGTCAGCCCTACCCTCGGGCCTTAAATGGTATGTCAGTAGGCTAGTTGTTTACCGGTGTGTGCGGCTATCTATTGGCGTTGCTCTAACATTTCTATATCCAGTGTCCATATTGCAAAACCCATTCGCAGCCCTATCTCTAGGGCCGTCGCCGGCCTCGTCGAGAATAGCACAATTCAGTAACAAAAGTCGCACCAAGAAGAGAAAAAGCCAGAATCCATACGCAATTGCACAGGCCCGGCAACGGAAAGCGGCGAATTTGTCCCGACAAGCCGTGTTGAAAAAAGAGCGTATTTCTTCTACCTATGGCGACCCCGTCACCGGCAATCCTACCCCCTTCATCGAATCGCTGATGCCAGAGCAACCTGAACGCACTGCTGCCTCCATTCCCACATCTACATCTCAACAAGGGAGCAAGAAGGCTGAAAATACCCAACCCGCTCCCTCTCCTGCAGTCCCCGACCTGAATCACTATTTGACATCTGCCGAATTCCAAGCGGCTCTTGAGCGGTCGAAACGCCTTACGGAGCCCGTGGCGAAGAGCCAAAGCCATTCAGTCGATCCGCAAGCCGAGGAGGAAGCGCGGCTCGCACATGAAGAAGCGCACCGCAACGCGCAACAAGCCATCAGCCGCATTATCCAGCTTGAGAATGGCAGCAACAAGGATCGGACCCGGGTGAATATCCAGCGCTGCATACATACTTTTGGCAGACACGTTACAGAATCGCTCCTTGCGCCCAAACCTCCTGCTGCCATCAACCCTTCAGCGCCCCAGCACCCAGCAAGACCGGCACGAGCGGGACCAGACACAGGGTCTTCGGAGGTACAGATTGCTATTCTAACAACCAAGATTCAAGTGCTTGCTCAGCAGATGTCCAAGTATGGACACAAGGACAAACACAACAAGCGGAATCTCCGGGTGCTTGTTCACAGGAGACAGCGGTTGCTAAACTATTTGAGAAGAAAGGAGCGCGGGGGACCTCGGTGGCAGAACCTGATGAGCACCCTTGGGCTGACCGATTCATCATGGAAAGGGGAAATTAATTTGTAGGGTTGTAAATATAGGAGGCGCGCTTTTGTTATTTTGTAGGTTACTTTTTGGTATTAGACCGCAATTTGTGTTTGCTTTTCTTTCCTTTTTTTTATTTTTTTGTTCCTCATTTCACCCTACCAAACGATTTCTCGCTTTGAGAAATCTCAAATCATCCGCACGTACTTTACAATGAGTTACCGGACCGGCATTTGCTTTTAGTTCAATTAAATGTATTTATATGGCTGCTGTGTTGTTCTTGGCTACAAGGGTATATTCTCTTACAGACAACACTGTCTTCCCTTCCCATTCTTGATCAAATTCTAGTGAAGCGTTTTGAGGAACACAACACAAATACATCAACAACCAAAAGCTCCGAAGCTCTTAACCTATTTATGGTATTCACCAGGAAACCCCTCTTACCCCGCTCGTAGTGACTGTGCCTGGGTGATAGTAACTATACAGCTAGGGGTATGTGTTGTAGATTCAGCCTCACCGCCTTCCTATTCCTGTATTCTGCCGTCCGACTGCCCCGTCGCCAACGAAATTATTTCTATCACAGACCGTCGCAACAACAACACACACGGCCCTCGGCACCATAACAATAACAAATACCCCCCCTCGTCTTCTTCTTCTTCTTCTTCTTCTTCTTCTTCTTCTTCTCTTCCCATCTTCTTCTTCCATTCCTCACCCTCTTCATACCACGCCATCTTCGAGCATCGTATGCTACATCAACCTCTCTATCAAATCCTTACGTTCACGGTCTTACTTTGACATCTCTCATACCCAGCTCATTTTTCCTTCTCGCCGCTTCTTTTACTGGCTCTCACCACATAACCTTCGCATTAGGCGCGTTATCAATCCCCTTCAACGATCTGCATCGTTCTAAAAGCGCCCTCGCCAATACCGTGCTGCCTTCTATCTGTCGCATAATTCCAGTTGGCAGTTCTACAACAGTACTAGGCGGGGCTTCTGACCCTTGTTTAGCGAGCTCTATCCTGGTTTGTTTTCTATTATACCCTGTGGTGCCTCTCTTTGCGAGTACACTGGATATTTACTAACAGGGCCTAGGTTGGAGCTTCAACGCCATTCCTAGCTTTGTAGCCCATCGCCTCAGAAACAGCCGCTTGACGCTTTATATCTAAGTCGGGCACTCTGCCCTCTGTTGCGCCATGCGTACTCGATCGCAGCCAATTTCCCCAAGCGGGTTTCAGTCGCTGGAAACCGTTCCTCGCAGGAGGAAGACGACGGCTTCCAAGACCACCAAAACCACCAAAACCACGAAGCCCACAAAGGAGGCAAGTGCCAAAGTCGAGAAAAAGAAACCCGGAAAGCGCGGTCCCAAGAAAACATTGAAGAAAACGGCGGCTAAATCCGAGGAAACCACGACCACAGCTGAAAACAGTAACGACGCCCCCGCGCCTGCGCCTACCGACAACACTTCCGTGAACGAGTCCCCACAGGATGTTAATGACGTTGCGACAAGTCTAGAACCGGTTGAACAACCTACAACAGATAAATGTGAGCAGCCAACTTTTTCTTCAACTTCTCCCTCAACAGAGCCCACACCCGTGGACGCTCGCCCCATTTCTGTAGATACAGCAGCCCCTTCTTCAATTTCTACCCTGCAGGTTGGATCCCAGGATGAGCATTGGCAACCCCCCTCTGCAAATTCTTTACCTAGAATCAGTGCATCTACTCCACCTGTAAGGTTTGCCCCGCGACAACGTGGAAGCTCGATTCTCGAGGCAAATTCCACATTTTCTTCTTCTGTGAGCTATCCATCTACACCAACGGAAAATCATCGGGAGTCAAGCTCAAGCGCTGCGGGTCAGATCCCCGCCACCAACTCTTCAAGCACTCCCAGATTATTTGAACGTCCTACGCGCCGTTCGTACCCCCCAATTTCACTTTCAGGCCCTGGACCTTCTAGACCCACTTGTCGTTCTTTTACTTCTTCTCTGGATCGTTCGGACCCTCAGAGGGCCTGGCGATCAGGAACTGACCGTTTCTCACCTTCTTCTCAACTCCGTGTCTCTCAAGGCCAGCAAGCTGGACTTGGATTAAATCTTTCTCAAAATTCTCGCTCGTCTAGGTTGGACGTCTCTCGCATAGGCTTGGAAAATTACTCCACTTCACAATCTCTGTCACAATCCACGGCGCGAAGATCTCAGAGTCCATTAGAACGAGCAGCCTCCGCTTTAAATCCTGATGGTGCCCTCATCTTTGATCTGAATACGCCTCAACCAGCTGACAGAGCCCCTCATTCAATTCCTCAGTTTTCCTATCCTCTCCACTCTTCCCTTTTTGCACCCCCAGTTGACCCCTGTCAGAGTCCACTGGCGTCTACTCAAGCCAATGCTAGACCTTCCACCCCCCAAAGTTCTTTCTATGATTCCCCTGATTCTAGCCCCTTTGAATCAATTGTTCGAGACCGCCTTTACCGTACCTGGGAATCTCGGATAGCTCCAAGAGCTTCCCGCACTGCATCTCGCATTTCCGATAACATCCTACCAATTGCTACACCGCCTAGGATGACAACCTCGATAGGGACGCAGACATCACCTACCCTAGCTTCGGAGATAGTCCCTAAATGCGCATGTTGTTCTGCGATACTGATCTGCCCCAATAATAAACATCATGTTAACGCTGCTTTTGGAGTCGACCAACCCAAGAATCAGAAAACGCTAACAGAAAATACAGCTTCACCCCGTAAGAAGCGAGCACGACGACGAGATTATTCAAGCGATGACGATGGCGATTTGCGATCCTCGAAGAAACGCCGCGATGCCGTAACTTCGTCTATTGCGCACCACAGGCAGCGAAGAGTGACACCATATGCCGAACGATCCCGTCGCAGAGCAGTCGAAAGCCAAGGCCGGATTGATAAAACACTTTTCCGCATTCCTCAACTAATCGCTCAAAACAATGCAGATCGAGATACGACTGGCAATGATAAGGTAGACGATGCTGATGTCGAAGAACCAGCATGGGATGTGCTCAACCAGATGCGAGCAGATGCAGCAGAATTATCAGATCAAGAGCAAGCACAGACTCTCGAGGCCCCTCAGACCCCAACCCGGAACTGGGACATTCGAGGGCTGTTTAATTCAGTCCCTAGGTCGATTTCAAAGTTCATTCCAACGTTCAGTCTTTCTCCGGTGCGAACAGGGTCGTCTATTGAAGTATCTTCGACACCACCGGAGGCTGGAGGGAGACCTGCCCTATCCATGCCAGTGGTGAGTACTCCGGATCAGAGTGAGCCATCTGAACAACCTGAGCAAACTCCGGAGTTAGAGCATTTGACATATTCCCTTTTCCCGCAACCACTAAACCGGCGCCAGCTGTTGGGAACCCCCCCCGATGTTCGATCCCCACAGAAGGGAGCCCAGAAAGGTATCGTGACCGAAACGACCGTTTCTAAGGAAACTACAAATAGCAACACGCAACACGCGCCCGAAGATGAAAACAATAACAATAACAACGGTAGCAGTAAGAACCCAAGAAAACGCAGGCGCTCAAGTCCAGAGTCGATTCCAAATCCCCCAGGCACGAGCTATGGAATGGATTTGAGATATTTTGGGGACAGTTCACTAAGCGAAGCAGATGATGACTCGATACCCGAAGATATGACTACGTTTGGCACTGAGCAAGATCCACGCCCCATTCCACCCACAGAACAACCTGCTATTCGAGGTATCTTACGTGGTACAAAGCGCGTTCGTTTTGATGCTAGCCCAGAAAACACTCCATCTAAGCTTCGACTCCGCCATCCCCAACCTCAAACCGTCGATGATAACCAAAGAATGATCGAGGAACAAGGTTCATCTCTTTCTTCCACAGACGATGCCATGGATATCTCCAGCGACCATTCTACAGGCGAACCGTCAGCGTCTACACCGCCTGTCAACCCTCAAGCCCCTCCATCTGAATCCTCAGGAGATCCTCAGCCATCCCCCCCCTCTTCACCAATCATTCGCCCTAACCCTTTTGGAACCTACTGCCTAGACTACGATATGTTTTCAGACGATGATGATTTATATGAGGAGGAAATTGCCGCTGAACAGGCAGCTGCAACTGAAGCCGCAGCAGCTTCAAGCTCCAGCACTGACATCACCGAGAGTCAAGCACCCACGACATCTACTCAGGCTCGTGACATTATCCCCTCCTCCTCTCAGCAAACACCAGTTGCGGAACACCAACCTTCTGAATCAAGAGGTGCCTCTCAGTCATCGTCCACGACTCCTGAGACTGCGCCTGCTGATTCTCAAACATCCCAACAGCCTTCTATGTTCGCTATTAATTGGACGCAACCTCCACCGCCTCGCCCGACGCCGGCTCATGCGTCGCTGCCAACGCAGCCAATCACACCCGTTGGCGCGGACGCTGTTGCCAAGCTCCGTTCACAGGCCGAAAAGTACAAGCCGAAGCTCCCTAGTGGGCTTCGTGCTTCTCGCCGGTACTCTTCCAGTCCGCTGTCAGCTCCAGACAGCGGCGACAACATGACCTCGCGTCCTGAACGTTTTGAGCCGTTGGTGGATTCCCCTCCGCCACATCTCAACACCCGTGAGCAATGCCAAGCCACGGAAGCCAAGGGGGAGGCTTCCGCGGGCGACAAGGAAAACTCCAGCGGGGGGTCGCTGGAGCAAAGCTCATACGTACCAAACCCTCGGATGAGGCAATTGGTACGTGAGATGTGGTTGGAGGAGGATGATGAGGCGGCTGATGAGGTGTTCAGTCGCGAGTTCCGGCGATTCCGCCGGGAGAGATCCCGGTTGGAGGAGTCGGAGCTGCAAGAGGAGGAGGGGGGGGAGGAGGGGGGGGAGGAGGGGGGGGAGGAAGAGGAGGGGGCAGCTCACATCGAGCCCTTTAACCTGGGTTCGTATGATGAGTTTTGCCGGAGTTTTGAGGAGTATAGGCGGCGGCGGGCCGCCTAGGGGGTTGAGGGAAGGGGCGTTGCTTTTTGTTTTTGTTTTTGATTTTGATTTTGACTTATTGAATTTCTTGATTTATTTTGTTTCCTCTATTGAGTTCTTTCGCATTGTTCCCTCATTATCTGCTTCGGCGGAGAGATGACTGGGTACTTTCGAAAGGCTCATATTTTCTTTTGTATTGTGTTTTGAGTTTTTACTTTTTTGATTTCTTTTTCGTCTTCTATTGCTCGTTTATTCCCTCTCTTCCTTTTCGGGGGGAAAAGAAGTAGACTGGGTTTAACGGGCCGCATGTATGTAGGTACGCACGTATGTATGCACGTATGCATGTTTGCTCCTGGCTTTTATATTTTTATAGATCATGTATGATTAGCTTTTGTTTGGAGTCCGGGGGGCTGGGGGGAAAGGCGCAATTGATTTTTTGCCAAGATATTCATTCTCTTTTACTGTAGGGAATCATAAAGTAATTGTAACCGATGAATTGCTACGTAGTGTGTATTATAAAAGCCCCTGAGTAGCAGCTAATCGAACCCTTCAAACTCCTCTTCAGCCTCGGTTTGAGCTTGTTCCTTCGCAGATTTTCGAACGGCACTCACCATCCGCTCGGTCTCTCTTACTTTCTCCCTCTCTTCCTCCGTCATCTTTTCCCACCGCTCATGCTCTCTCTTAGCTTTCTTCCTCTCCCGTCGCCGCTCCTTCTCACTCTTTCTCTCCAGATTCTGACTCCATGGAATCGATTCGCTAACCACAGGCCTCTTCAGAGGCCCCTTCTCACCATTAACACTCGCAGCATTATCATGATCAATGTCGCCACCACTCCTCCGCTCGCCCATCTCTTCCTGCCGATGTCTCTCTCTCTGCTTATCCTTGTACGCATAGTTATTCCAATCCACCCCACTAACGCCTAGACTCTTATCACCTGTAAACGCCTTTAGCTCGGGCATCTTGGGCAGTCGCAGAAGCCCCCATGCTCGCCCCAGCTCCTCCCAGTCCAAGTCTGTGACGCGGAATATGCTGCTGGCCTGGTGCTTGCTGTAGCTGCGTAGCCAGCTGACGAAGGCGCGCTGGGCTTTATCGTGTACGGCGCGGTCTTGAAGGACGAGGGTGCGGATTTGTTCGGTGGTGGTTATGGCGTCTGTGGGTGTGATGTGGATTGGGTGGGAGAATGAGGATGTGGATGTGGTGGAGGTGGAGGTGGGAGGTGGATTGGAATTCCGTCACGGGCGTTTTGCGCACATTGAGGAATGGGATGTAATCCTCTTCCCGACCTGGGTGGAGGAAGATGATGCTGAGACCGCGACGGCCAGCGCGGCCTGCTCGTCCGCAGCGGTGGAGGAAGACTTTTGGATCCGTCGGGGGATCTATTTGGATTACTAGATCTACGGCTGGGATGTCGAGCCGCGGGCGCCACGTCCGTGGTTAGGAGGATGCAGGAGGTGACGGAGTGGGCGAAGCGGGTGAAATTTTTCTGACGGACTTGTGGGGGGTGTTTGCCGTGCAGAGGGATTGTGGTAAATTGGTCTGGTAGGAGGGAAGGGAGGATGTGCTGGTAATAGTCTACTGCGGCGCAGGTGGAGAAGTAAAGGATGGATCTTTGCGGGGTGGGTGAGAGGGTTGAGAGGATCTTTTTCACGGCAGGCAGTTTGTGGGTTGGTGGGGTAAGGAGGTAGGTCATTTGAAGGCTGGAAAATAGTGGAATTAGAATATGAAACATACGCCGAAATTATTAGCTGTGTCGCTGGGATAATACATACCTCGCTGGAGTTCGCTTTTCCTCCAAACCTGCCCCTTTCACCTTGACTGCAATTTTAACCGGGTTCCGTAAGCCGACGCGAATAATCTGGTCGACTGCCTCGCTGACACTGGCACTGAAAAGACCCGTTCGCCGTTGCTTGGGTAATCGTTGAAGGATTTTCTGTAGATCTTCTTTGAAACCCAAATCTAAAAGTCTGTCCGCCTCATCGAGGACAAGAACCTCAAACGACGACTGTGGACAATGGGCATGAGGCGACGATAAAAGCTCAAGAAGGCGACCCGGTGTTGATACGAGAACATTAGGCGACTGCTTTAGAAATGTACTTAAATCTTGCGCGGGGGTTGTAGCGCCTCCTAGTAGGAGTTGAGGTACTATTTTCAACGTGGATGATGGGTACGATGGGGCAGGGTTAGCCTCGTCGCCTTCGTTGTTGTTACCTGCCCGCTGAAGGCGCGCCGCGGATGGACCGTGGAAGGCTAGCAAAGACAGCAAGACATTGTATATTTGAGTGGCCAATTCTCTATTCCGTATATTAGCCTAATTGAACTTCCCCTTTGATGAAACTGCGGCGATATAAAATACCTGGTGGGGGAGATGATAATGGCTCCAATGTGATGCTTTTTTATAGGTGATTCCAGCCGTAAAAGCCTTTCTACTACGGGAATCAAAAAGGATAATGTCTTCCCGCTGCCCGTCACAGCCTCAACAACGACATCCTTATGCGCCATGAACAGAGGAATTGTCGAGGCCTGTACTGGGGTCATACGGGAGAAGCCCATAGTGGAAATAGCGTCAAGGATCCATTCCGACAATGGAGGGGTGAGAGCATCCCAAGCTCTAGACTTAGAGCTCTGCGGAATCGCTGGAGCCATTCTGCACGCGGGTATCACAATTCCGTCCGGTCTCAAGCTTAACGTGGAGGCTTGAGATGAGGTTGGGGAAGTCTGCGATAGTTTCCCAATGGAGTAAAAAAGTGGAAGTCTTGGCGCGCGGAATAATTTCTGCCGTTTTACGCCGCTATAACCTTGGAAATTGCTCCGCCCCACGTGACCTGCGGAGCGTGGCGGAAAAGCTGATTATCACGTGCTAAAAGCCCTTATTTGGAAATATTGAAGCTGACAAGTTATTCATCTGCATCATCTCAGAGACACGGACTCTATCTTTTTATTTCCTCTGCAGCTCCTCACTCTACTGTCGCTTTGCTTTCCACTACTTTGTGCGGCTCAGGGTGAAGAAACCACACCGCTTGTGTGTTTGCTGGCCCAGAATGCGCCTGCATTTTCCGCAGCGAGCGCTCCCTTGACAAACACAGAGCTCTATTTTTGTGGCGTTATAGCCCCTCCTTACAGTATCTTTCGCGGGATATTCTACCCTCTGGCTGCCGTTTTTCGTTCTTTTCTGCCACTCGCAAGGGATCTAGTGTCGGGGCTCTAACTGCCCTCATCGCGTCGATCGTGTTTCCTAGTGCGCCCCTCCAGGATTTCCGCTGTCATGTCAGTTATGTATGCTGTTCCCACTACTCCCCGCGTAACTTCGCCGTCTCCCGCTCCTTCAGATAATTTGACCGCCGGAAACGTTGAGTCTGGCCGTGTCACGCGATCCGCTTCTGCGAGACAACGCCTCTCGTCGCCTCCCGCCATATCAGAGGAGAACGAAACCCACAATGAGAGTGAGGAGGAATCAAGCTCGGACTCTATTACAGACCGCCGCGCACGTACGCGCTCTCGGAGCCCGACTGGGCTACCTCCGAATCAAGCACGTCGACGAATGACGGGACTAACGCCTGTGAACGGCGCCTCGATAACAGGCTTATCAAAATCCGAACCCCTGTCGAATGGATATGTCCCTGCGAATGGCCATCTCTCCCCATATTCCAACATTCAAAACCGTTTGCGGGCTTTCTCCCGTTCTCCTTCACCACTAGGCCTCATACCGCTTCATAGACACTACAGGACTTTTATTCATCGGCATGAAATCCCGCGCAAACTTCTCCATGTTTCAATCGGATTTGTCACGCTCCATCTCTACTACCGTGGGGTCCAGACCTTGAACGTAGCTCCCTGGCTCCTAACAGCATTGATCCCAATAGCTATTACCGATTTCCTACGACACCGCTACCAGTCTGTAAACAAACTGTACATCCGGTGCTTGGGGGCGCTTATGCGAGAGACCGAGGTAGCCGGGTACAATGGTGTGATCTGGTACCTGTTGGGAGCATATATCTCTCTCCGTTTCTTCCCAAAGGATGTTGGCGTGGTGGGCGTTTTGCTCCTGAGCTGGTGCGACACCGCTGCATCCACCTTCGGGCGCTTGTATGGCCGGTACACGCTTCGTCTCCGCAGTGGAAAGAGCTTGGCTGGGACTCTAGCCGCTTGGGCCACAGGGGCTGCTACTGCAGCTGTCTTCTGGGGTTATCTTGTCCCTTGGTTCGGTACCTTCCCTGACGATCCTGAGGGGTCATTCATGTTCAATGGCACCCTCAATCTGATTCCAAGCTTCATTCGAGGCTACCTCGGGTGGGCTGGGATTTCCGCAACTAGCGCAGCTAAAGCAGTGGTTACTGGGCCTTTGGCTTTGGGTATTATGAGTATGTGGACGGGAATTGTGGCTGCTGGCAGTGAACTTATAGACATCTTCGGATGGGATGATAACCTTACCATTCCCGTCCTTAGTAGTGTTGGGATTTGGGGCTTTTTGAAAACTTTCGGATGATATGGTTTATTTTCACATCACTCTTCTCGAACTCTATCTTAATACTTTCCCCCTTCCCTTTCGGCTCCTTGTTTTCTTTTCCCTGATGGTGCTCCATGATGTCATTTTCACGAACCCTACATTTCCACCTCTGAAGTTTACGTACGGTCCTCTATCTTATCCCTTTTTTTACCGGCCCATCTCCCCGTATGTTTTCGCGAATCGCCATTTCAGCTGGTGCTCGTTTTCTAGACAGTTATGTTACCCTCACCACCCCGCTTTTTTATATCACGGATACTTGCCAGTTCCCTTTTTCCATTAGCCCCTCAATCATTGAATCCCTATTTTCAACCCGACATTTTGCGTTCGTGACACTGGCATTACTTCTGGATTTATCGTACAACCCCTTTCTGTCTTCGGCGTTTAGGTTTAGGTCTAAGGAAAGACAGCATAAAGACAATAGCTCGATATTGGATAGCTTAGTATTCATTAACTTAAGAAATATAAATCATTTATTCTCTGACGTTTATTGTACCGTGATATAGGTTTCCCGTGGTTG